ACTAAATAATGTAATCCTAAAAAATGATTGTGTCAAACAACAAATCATAGAAACAATCAATAGTGTTTGACAGAATTTGCTTGTAAATCCATGTGACCCTGGAGATTTTTTCCTAGGGAGTTCATCAATGGCTTGTTTAATTTCTTTTACTGAGATGGGGTTATTTAAGTATTTTACTTCCTCTTCTGTTAATCTGGGCAATTTATATTTTTGCAAATATTCATCCATTTCACTAAGGTTGTCAAATTTATTAGCATACAGTTGGAAAATGTTACCGACATCCAAAAAAAGAACTATGGAGCTTGAATGCAGATTGAAGCATACTATTTGCTATTTTTTTCTTTTGTTTTATTTTATTTTGTCTTTCTTGTGGTGCCTCCTATTGGTTCTAATTCTTCCTTACAACATCAGTAATGTGAAAATATATTTAATAGGAATGTATGTATATACCCTATATCAGATTGCATGCTGTCTTGGGGAAGGAGGCAGGGAGGGAGGCGGAGAATAATTTAAAACTCAAAAGCTTATGGAATTGATTGTTGATAAATCAGAAGAAATTAATATGAAATAATAAAGAAAAAAAGGAATTGTTTTCTTAAGTGAGTTTTTGTTGTTCTTTTTCCATTTGGCCAATTCTGCTTTTTAAAGAGTTCTACTCTTCAGTCAATTTTTGTACTTCCTTTTCAATTTGGCCAATTCTACTTTTTAAGAAGTTATTTTCTTCAGTGTTTTTTTTTCCATTTATTATATTTTTAAGGAGTTGTTTTCTTCAGCCAATTTTTGTTTTATCTTTTGCAAGCTGTCAACTCTCTCTTGCACATCTCTCCTTTCTTTTCCTAATTTTTCTTCTACCTCTCTTATTTGACTTGTAAAATCATTCTTGGGCTCTTCCAAGAAGACTTTTTGGGCTTGAGACCAATTCACATTCCCCTTTAAGGTTTCAGATATACATAGATTGACAATGTTCTCCTCTTCTGAGTTTGTGTTTTAGTCTTCCCTGTCACCACAGTAAGTCAATGGTCAATGTTCATTTTTGCTTCTTACTCACCTTGTTTACCTATTTTCTGACTTTTAAAGTTGAGTTCTCCTGCTGGAGCACAGGGGTCACTTTCCCAGACTTCTTGTGATGGGGGCCAGGGGCCTGGGCACTGTTTGTGTGCTAGGGCCTCAGGTGCTGGCAGCTGGAGGCTATATAGGTCTGGCAGCTTATCTGGTGCTGAGCTGGTGTCCTAGGGGTGGTGTCTGGCATGTGCTGAGTTCAGACAGGGTTTTTCTGTTTCCCCAGGGCTACACTGAAGTACTCAGAGGTCTGGCCACTCAAGGACACCTGCTTGGCCAAGGCTGCACTAGAGCATGGAGAGACCCAGTGGCTGGAAGACAACTGTCATCCAGGGGCTGTGCTGAAGCATGTGGAGATCCAGCTGCTGCAGGCTGCCTGGCTACTTGGGGCTGATCCAGCACACATGGTGGTTCTCAGAGCTGGAGTCTGCTGATTCCTGTGGCTTTGCTAAGGCATGTTGGGTGGGAAGTGGATCCTGGTGTTGGTGCTGGCCTGCTTCATCACCCTGGGGCTCAGGGTTTTGTTGCTGGCTTGCCAGGAGGCTTCTTATCCTGGAGTGCACTACCATTTTACTGGAGTGACATGTACCTTTCTTGGTGATCCTCCAAGCTTCCTGGGCTAAAAAACTGCTCCATCCCATCTTTCCACTGGTTCCACTGTTCTAGGATTTTCCTGGGGTGCTATTTTCTAGGTTTTTCAGAGGTCAATAAGGGAGAGTGAGAGAGATTTACTGCTTACTCCCCCATCTTGGCTCCCATGTCTTAAAACTATGTTCATAATACTTTATACAATGTTCTCTTGGTTCTGATCATTTTGTTCTTCATTGTGTCCTATAAGTCTTTCCATGTTTTTCTAACAATAAGGCTCCTTTTTCCTGTTATAGCAAATTTCTATGATCAGCTCAAGTAACAAGTAAAAGATATGAGCACAATGAAAGTATGTAAGATCTCACTGTTTTCAGTCTAAATGTGTAGTCATTTAACTTGTGGGGTGGAAGTCAGAAACTTCTTCTGTTTTAAGGAATAGAAATTTAATATCACCAGTCATCTTAGTGAAAAGTATTGTTTGTGTAATATCTATTCAGTTTGATTATGGTTAATAGCTGAACATGTTCTACTCAGTTGATAAACACTGTTTTCTATATACAATTGGGAATTAATTGCTTAAGTATCCTCCCAAGTCTTCTATTATAATTGACATAAAGTCAGCCTCTTATAAGTAAATTCATTTTTGAAGCCATTGAACCCAGGGATAGAAAGTTTCTATTGGCAGGAGTGTTGTTATTTATGTTTTCAAGAACAGGTTTGTATCCTCTGTAGCATATGATCCTCCTAAAGGAGTTAGAATAAGAGTCGAAATTTTTGAGAAAGTATAAAGATCAGACAATCTTGTATGTCAAATGTAAATGATTCTAATGAGACATTAGAATGTCCCATCCACACCCCTCCTCTGCTCTACCCAACTGCATTCACTCTTTCTCAATCAGCCCATCCTGATTGTAATAGCATGTAATTAACTGCTCTGTCTCTATCCTTTTAGTCTTCATCTAGCACATACAAACCAAGATGGCTAGAACAGCTCTTTAGGCTCAGGGACTATGCAGATTATTATTTCTATTTGATCCCTAGCATTATGCTGATGGAAGGAATTCCCTGCCCCCTTCCCCAGGTTTAGGGACCCAGAAAGAGAAAGAGCCAGTGTGAGCTGAGAATGAAAAAAGAAGAGTGAGGCTAAGGACAGAAGCCAGACTCACCTCTTCACCCATATTGAGCTAAGGGGAGCTAAGCTGAGGGACAATGAATACCTGTGAATGCTGACCTGTGTGCAGTGTCTCTTTTAAGTATCACACAAATTTTTTGTTAGATGTTATCTGGGCTGGGAGCCAGCCATGGTATGAAAAACAAATCTCTTCTCCACCATTTCACTTCTTTCTCCTTTATCCACTCCCCATAACTTCTTCCTTTCCCCCAGGAAAGGCATGAGACTCAAAAGGGGAGATCGCCTAGAACAGAACCCAGATCTATCCAGTCTCCACTCTGTCTTCTGAAATCTGCTCTACACCTCCTTTGGTGTGAATATGATGTAACCCAGAACACTCCTACCCTAATACACAAACCCACACACACTCCTTCCAGGGTTTAAGTCCTGTGACTGCTACTCTCCATTGTTGTATCTATCTGTTCAGGAGATGTCCCATTAGGCTGAAAGTTCCTTTTTTTTTCTGTATCCCTACCCCTTAGCAGGGTGCCTGGCATATATTAGATGCTTAGCAAATTCTTAATGACTTTACTTAACTAGACTCCTGCTCCAAATATAACCATCTTTCCATTATAATGTCATGTTTTCCAAACTTAGAGTGTATTTCACAAAAGAATAAGATAGACTATTCATATATTAAGTTAAGACTCTTTCCTTTATTTTGGCCTGGAGCTATGATTTCATCTGTTTAGAGAATGACTGATATGGAAACTCCTTCTGCTAATAAAATTACCTTGGAGAGTGGCCTGAGAGCTGGTGTGTGTGTCAGAGGCAGGACTTTCTGACCCAAGGCAGGCCTCCTAGCCACTACATCATGCTGCCTCTTAGATCCTTTATCATTGTATATTGATGTCATATACTTAGAGGCAAGACTCTAACACCAGCCTATTAACCCTCTCAGTTTCAAGTTCAATGTTGGGACAAAATGTCCCAAGTCATGCATATTTAAAAATATTTGCCCTAACACAGTAAGGATATGCAATAAGGACATGGTGGTACCTGACTCCTCTGGATACAGTCCCCTTTGTCTCCTCTGGAAATGCATCTGGTCAGTCAGTTGCCAGGATATGGTGACTCACAGGGTGTCAGGTGTCTGAGAGGTGCTGACTACACATGGCCGGGACTTTTTGTGCCGCAAGACCGAAACTTGGATTGGGGATCATGGGCCAATCAGAACTTGATCAGGAATTTGGGGAAGCTGCCTCAGGAAACTGCTAGTCCTATCACACTTACAAAGGAAAGACTGAGACCTAAAATGGAACATGAATGAGCCAGAGCGTTAGCAGGAGGTGCATCAAGAGATGGATAAAATCTGGGAGATTTTATCTGGGAGATAAGGTATTCTGATCATAGGGTCACCATAGAAGGAAGCAAAGTGGGAGACTGGGTCAGCAATGATTCCTAGGAGAGGCATACCCAGCTCCACTGATTTCTCCCCCTCCCTCTAAGTCAGTGGGTCACAACTATATTCACAGGAGGGTGGTTCCCTGAATAGTCAAAGGTCATGAGGTTTATGAGACTATTTTCCCCCAGGTGACTGTGGTGGGTTTCCTTTCTCTGATTTCACAGGTAAAGAGATAGTACATATAACCTAGAAGTATTGACAACAGATGTGGGGGCACTAACCCCTCTCTGTCCTATTCTAAGCATGTGGTTGAATTAGCTTCAGCTGTGTGTAACCTGGCTTCTGCTAAGAGGAGGTCCCTTTTTTTCATATACATTGGCTGGCTAACGAATCTCTTCCCTGAAGGACAAAGAAAATGAGATTATCTCTTACAAGTCTGTTTCCTCCAAAAGGAGGAAGTACAAAAGATATTTAAAGTACCATATGAATCAACAATGGGACAAGTAGTTTATTCCTACTCACAAAAAAAGAATGCTAAGAATAGACAAATAGTAACATGTTTTAGCAATGTCTTTAGAACAGGCTTCAGCACTTCATCCTTACATATATAATATCCTGGAAGGATAATATTTAAACTGTATCAAAACATAAGGTGGTTTTTGTTTCCATTGTTTGGTCACTTCAGTTGTGTTCAACACTTGTGACCCCATTTGGGGTTTTGTTGGCAGATGTACTGGAGTATTCCCTTCTCCACCTCATTTTTTGGATAAGAAACTGAGGCAAACAGGGTCAAATGACTTGCTCAGGGCCACACAGTTAGTAAGTGTCTGAGGCCAGATTTCAACTCATAAAGATGAGTCTCCCTAACTTCAGAGTTGGCACTCTATCTACTGTGCCATCTAGCTGCCCTATAAGGCAGTTTGGGATATATTATGTGGGCACTTTACATTTCACCTCTGACGTTGTCCGATCAAATGCCAAGCTTGGGTCAGACATCTATCTGGTGGCCTCTTCTCTGATGCAGAAATGGTCCCTTTTGACATCCAATTGCTCACTGGAACTCAGGAATTTCAGACCTTTCAAATTGCAAGGTCCCACTCAGTACCCACTTGACAAATCCAGCAGGGGGGAACTTATTTGGCAAAATCAGGACAGAATAAACACACAAGAGTTAGAGCTGCCATGCAATTATAGATAATGGAGTGTGGGTGGAAAACAGGGCAATCATCCCTTCTCCAACCTCATTCTCTTATTGCAACATTAAAGAGACCTTAAGCTTCAAGGCTAGAATGGAAGAGAGAGTCAAGGAGGTTAGTAGCTTGATTTTTGTGCATTTGATGAGGCATCATCTGTTCTGGCTCAGCATTGCAAATCCTTCAGAGATCAATCATCCATAGCTGGCTGCAGCACTGCCCCAAGCTTCCATGTAGTCACCTAAAAACAGGAGTAATTACTGAGCATGATACCTGGCGGGAGGTGGGGAAGACAAAGAGCCCCTTTTCCATAGGTACTGACTAATGAGGGGAAAGTGACTAAACTAAATAGGCAGCACAAGCATGGGGTATCAACGTTGTCAGGAGCTGGCAGGAACAGGGAGGGCTAGGGCGGAGGAGGGAACATGACAGCTGTTCACAGTGCAGTGCCATCCTCAACTCCTAAGTCTCTCTCAAATCACAGCCTATGTGTTAGTCGCTGGTGATTATGACATCTGTAGATTTTAGCTAGGACTTGACAGAAGCCAGGGAAGGCTAAGGTGAGAAGAGAGAGAATTTCAGACATGGAGGACAGTCAGCGGACATGCCCAGTGTCAGGAGATGGAGTGAAGAGTGCCAGGAAGCTGGTATCACAGGATTGCAGAAGATGTGGAGGGAAGTAAGAGAAAAGAGGGTATTAAGCAAAAGAAAGTGGCAGCTAGGTGCTGCAGTAGATAGAACACTGGATTTGGAATCAAAAGGACTCATCTTCATGAGTTCAGATCTGTCCTCAGACACTTACTAGTAGTCACTTACAGCTGGACAAGTCACTTAACCCTGTTTGCCTCAGTTTCCTCATATATGAAAAGAGCTGGAGAAGGAAACGGTAAACCATTCTCGTATCTTTCCTAAGAAAACTCCAAAAGAAGGTCACAAAGAGTTGGAAACAACTGACCAACAACAATAGGCAAAAGAAAAGCCATCAACAGTATCAAAGACTGCAAAGAGATCAAGAAAGATGACATTTAATAACAGGCCATGAGCTATGACAATTAGAAGATTGCTAGTAATTTTGAAGAGAGCAGTTTCATTTGAATAAAGAGGTGAGAAGACAGACTGTAGAGATTTAGGAGGAGTGAGAGGAAAGGACATAGGCACCTATTGTAGCTGCCTTCTCAAGGAGTTTAGCCACAAAAAAAGAGGGGAGATATAAAAATAGGTAGCAGAGATGGATGGATCAATGGTTTTTGGAGAATGGAGGAAATGTGTTTATGTTCATAGGCCAAAAGGAATCAACAAGCAGATATGAAGAGATTGAAGATAGGTGAGAGAGCAGGGGTGATAAAGGGGGAAATCTGGGGGAGGAAACAGAATGGAATGAGACCACTTGTACATGTAGGGGTTTGCCTTGTCAAGAAGAGCCACTTCTTTGTATGAGACAGGGGTGAAAGAGGAGATAGTAGCATCTGAATGATGTAAGATGAAGAAGAAGGGAGAGGAGAGATCTCTTAGAAATTTTGTAAAAAAAAGATGTCTCTCAAATTTTTAGTTAAATATGAGGCTAGGTTCTCAGCTGAGGGGTGGGGGTAGGGTTAGCTATGGGAGACCTGTGGAAGGATGAAAAGGTTTGGAAGAGCCACTGTGGTGAATGGGATAGTAAAATAATAGAGGAAATTTAAAAGGACTGCCTTGCAGCAGGGAGAGTCCAAGTGGAGACAATGTAACACGAATTTACAGTGGACCCAGTAAGCACGACTTTGTGATTTTCTACAGCTTCTGTCCACTGTAGATATGTAGGAGCAAAGGCACAAGATGGTGGGAGTGATCCAAAACTAAGGTTTTGCAAGGCAAGTTAGGCAGTAAGGTAAGTGGGCAAGGGACTCAAGAGAAGAGGAAAGTGGAGAGTTGGACTGGTTTTCCAAAGGGTCAGAATAGGGAAGGGAAGAGTGTAGCTAGTATAGGGGGGATGGCCTGGGAAAGAACTGAAGCATTGGTGAATGGTGGCGATGGTGAGAATGAAGAACAGAGTTTTAGGTTGCAAGGAAGAAGATCTAATATAAAATCCTCTATTTGGCATTCAAAGCCCTTTATAAACTGCCACTCCCTTTCCAGTCTTCTTACAACTTATAGCCTTCACTGTATGTCTACTATGATCCAGTGATATTGACCTTGCTGTTCCTTGAACAAGACACTCCATATCCCAATTCCAGGGTTTTTCACTGGCTGTCCTTCATGTTTGGAATTGTCTCTTCTCAACTTAGTTACCCAACTTCCCTGGCTTCCTTCAAGTGCCAGCTAAAATCACACCTCTCATGAAAACATGTTCTTCGTGCCAATGAATTCTAGTGACTTTCCTGTGCTAATTATCTCCAATTTATCTCGTATATCACTTGTTTGGACATAATGGATTGCATGTTGCCTCCCACCCTTAGACTGAGAGCAAGGACTGTCTTTTGCCATTCTTTGTAACTCCAGGGCTTAGCAAAGTGCCTAGTACATAGTAGGTGCGTAACAAATATTTACTGAGTGACTGATCACCATGAGCCATAAAACTTAACTCATAGGGAGGGAGTGCAGATAATGAGTGACTGAGAGGGCTGGAGCTGACTGTCAAGGGCTTTAAGCAAATCAAGGACTGGGGAGCCTGGCAGGGTGAAGTGGTCCTCAGTCACTAGTTGGGAAAGAGAAAACAAAGGGGTTTCACCTCCCATACAACTCCACCTCCAACTCCCACTACAGCTTAGAGACCTGCAATTGGCATATGCCTCCTTGATGTCACTCAGGAATGTGAGAGGTAAGAAACTATTAAATTTCCATGTAAGGAAATCGAGAGAAAAATAGTTCCAGGTCAGAGCTTTAAGAAGCAGCTAAAATTGAGTGGAACTGGTTGTTTGATTAAAGAGGCTGGAAGGAGGATAAAGGTTAAGATTTACTTAGAGTGCACATGCTTCAAACTTACCTAAAGGAAAACCTGGTGGGCATTTCAGGAAGTCTGTGATCTGTGCTGACTTCTACCTATGAAAATCAGCTAGGAGGGACTTGTGGCCAGAAATAGGGTTATAAGGATTGCTCTCCCTTTGGTAGTGTGTGTGCTCATCTCGAGTTCCACACTGATTTCCTGCAGGAAGTATATTAAAGGTTCACTGCTTTACTCATCCTGAGTCTGTCTAACTTACTGTGCGTATTTGGGCACCAGAGGTTATTTCCAACAGGAACAAGAGAGGGAAACAAACTTATGTACTTGATCAGATTGATTTACCTCAGTGATTAGGCATCTGTTTGAGAAGAATATGCATAGAGAAAAGGAGAGGAATAAGGAAAGAGAAGGGGAAAGAGAGAAATGTATAGAGGGAAAACAGAAAAGGGAGATATTAGAAGGAAGCAGAGAAAGAGGGAAGAGGGAGATGGCAGGGAGGAGAGGGGAAAAAAGTGCCTAAGGAAAATGGGAGAAGAGTGGGAAGAAGAGGAGAGTGACCTCTCTTTGACCTCCCTCTACTGTCCTTTTCCCAGCCCAGTCTTAGGCAAGTCCACAGTCTTCCTCAACCTTTCCAGACAAGCCTCCCACTGACCTTGTGTTGATTCTTTCTTTCCTTTTCATCCAGTTTAACTCCTACACCAATCTAGCCCCACCCCCAACTGAATGCAAGTCCCCTAGGCTCAACTTGGCCTCTTTTCAGCTGCCTGTGGGGATATTAAGTCAAATGCAGGCCCCACCTGAAATTACCTCATTGTCATCCCTGGAGACCTCTGGGGTAGCAACCTTCTTAATAAGAGTATTGACACAGTCCTTAATGTTAGAAGCACCATAATTATCGCCATACCTCTACCGTTATCAGAAAATGCTCCTTGCTCATGAAGATACCCTGTAAGCCAAAAGGGAACCATGAGCTGATGTTTAGGGGAAACTGGGCTAGGACCATCTGTTTCTGGCCCTTTGCCCTCTGAACCTTCTCCAACCCCCTCCCTGGGCTCCAGTTATGTCTTATGTACCACATCCTATTTGAATTAAGCCTGACTTAGATGGGTCCCAGTCCTCCATGCTTTAGGCAAGTATATAGAAGGGGGAGGCAACATCGAGCACGCGGGACTACACGGGGACTAGATCACATTTGGGAATCAAGGCTGTGTGAAGACCAGGAAATTTGAATCAGTTTTGCAAAGACAGCAGTGAAATTCAAGGTCAGGAATCCCTAGGAAGGATGCCAACACATGGACTGGTGGACACAAGGGGGCCAGAACTATGCAGAGACTAGAACCCAGAGTTCAGGGCAGTACATGGGCTGAGAGTTATACAGGTCTGAAATGTTCAGAGTTGGGGGTGCAGGGGAAAGTACAGACCAAGGCTATACTGAGATAGAAGGGGTCAGGACTGCAGAAAGACTAGTGGACCCTCAGGGCCTGGGCTACTTAGGGACTACCCAACTGGAGGTTTATTAACATCCCATGATTCCATCACATTGCTACCCTACTTACCCCATTCTTACCTAGACATCTATGATGTAACCACAGGTAACAAAGGATCATTTCAACCTCAAATGCCAAAGTCACAGCCAGGAGTCCATTGATCTCACATAGCCAGGGAACTGACCTGAAAAGATATCCTGAAAGAAGCCCCTAGATGAAGCATTCTGGGAAGATGGCAGAGTAGGTCAGCAATTTCCAGGCTTTCCAAATTTCCTCCACAAACAGACAGAACCCAGAGTTGGAAGGAGCCATAGTGACTATCTATCCCACCCTTTCATCTTACAAATGAGAAAACTTAAGTCCAGCTAAGCTAAGTGATTTCCTTGCCCAATGGCATATAGAAACTAAGGAGATCCTGAATTTGATTTCATCTATGGATTTCAAATCCATACGATCTTCAGTCTATCACATCCTGGCTCATGAAATATTGCAGATGGGGTCCCTGTCTGAAGGGGCTTTCTGCTTCAGGTTGAAACTGTCTTCCCACTATATTTGGAAGATCTTTAGAAACCAAAGAGAGATGGAAATCCAGTGGAGGGCTGGGCTTCAGGAACATTTTGATAACATTCTGGGTATAAGAGGCCATGTAGATGTTACACACTCAGGATTTTAAAAAAAAGATTTTGAAGCACTCCTTATTGCGACAAGCTTTTGGTTCATTTGTTTGAAATTTGCTCTGAGTGGTACTTACAGACACTGCCACAAAATCAAGATTTGTTTATAAAGTGGATAGAGTGCTGGACTTGCACTCAGGAAGACCTGCCTTCACCCCTGCCTTCACCCCTGCCTTTCCCCCTTTGGTGTACTCTTCTGCAAGTCATCTAACTTCTCTCAGTTTTACTTTCCTCTTCTGTAAAATGGGGACTCTACTTCACAAGGTTGTTATGAGGATCAAAATACATACTATACACAAAGTATTTTATAAACCTATAGATCTTTAAAGAGCTATATGGAGTTCACTATTATTATCTAGGCAAATGAATTTTATCGTAAGAGTGGCCTGGGGGACCCTAGAGCCATTCCATGAACAACTGAATCATCTACAGGAAGTCATATGTGGGGAGAAGTTAGGGAGGCAGAGGTTAAGATTATAGGGAGAGCAACATGGCTTTTTTTCAGAGCCAGCTTTCTGATTTACTTATCAACCTATTAGGGCACAGAGCAGAGAAACAGTCACTTGGCAGGGAGCCAGGGATTAAATTCTCTTTCTTTCACAACAGTGAAATTAGGCAAGTTAAAACATAGTGTAACAATTCCTCTTCCCCTTGTGACTTTGAGGTTGGGAGACTTGAAAGGGTTATTTTTCAAAGATCTACCCTTTTATTGTGTTAGAGATAGACGAATCCAGGAAGGTGTGGAGATTTGGAGATTCATCTTTAACGTGAGTGAATGTGATTGTTTAGAATTGTTATAACATTTTACTTTTGCTTTTTTATGAAGTACTGACATCTTAGCCTGTAGTCTAATTGGCTGTGCTGAAATGGCAAAGAAGATAAGGTTCAAGCAGAGGGGAGCTATGTAGCCAAAGAGAATTACTACTTGTTATTGGAATATTGAAACCCTCAAGTAGGAACTCAGGGGTATGAAAAACTCTCGTTTTTTTTTTTTAATGAGGCAATGCCATTAAGTGACTTGCCCAGGGTCACACAGCTAGTGAGTGCTATGTGTCTGAGGCCAGATTTCAATTCAGGTCCTGACTACAAGGCCGCAGCTCCTATCACTCTACCACCTAGCTGCCCTAGAAAACTCTTGTAAGGAAAAGCTGAGGACAAGCTGGAATTGGGAAGTAGAATTTGATTACCACCCGGTGCCTCAAACAGACCTAGCACCTTGAGCTACTGATCCAAACCTACCAGCCAAGTTAAGAGATTAAACATGGTCCCAAATGCATTCCAAACTGGATTGCATGTATAAAAGTGAATTACTCCAGCTCTGCCCACCTTTACGCTGGGCCGTCTAGAATTTCTTTTCCTTAATTAACAAACCTTCCTTCCTTTTAGACTTCTTTCTTTGCTTCATGCTTATTGATTAATTCACAAAATGGCTTTGACTATAGATGTCTTTCTCTCTTTCTCCTTCCAGCTTCTAGCACTTACTGAGACCTAGCCTTCCCTAGAGGACACAGAGTTCCTGCAATGTCCTTTTCAATACTGGTTGTACCTTTCCTCATACTGCTCAACTTCACTTGTCCTTGGGAGAGAGTCAAAATACTACTCACTTCCTTTGCCACTTTTTGCTGCTATAGAACTCTCAATAATCCTCTCCTCCTCTGAGTCTCATCTATCCAAATACACAACTCAACTGGTTGGCAGTTGCCTACTAGCCAGATCATTCTCCCTCCTTTCTCTAAAAGTTCAGTATTTGGCTCACATTATTCATGTCAACTCCAACTCCTGTCAACTAGGGCATATTACATATATGTTGATATTCCTTCAAATACTGGAGCATCTCAGTTTCACAGTCTTCTCAATTCCCATAACTTAGTCCTCCATGCCAACTCAGCCTTACAAAGGCAGAAACAGGATTAGTTTGACCTTGCAATCATTCACAAATTTCCACTTCCATGATCAAGAATTCTAAAATTCTGGGGGCAGCTAGGTTGCTCAGTGGATAGAGCACCAGCCCTGAAGCCAGGAGGACCTGAATTCAAATCCGGCCTCAGACCAAACACTTGACACTTACTAGCTGTGTGACCCTGGGCAAGTCACTTAACCCCAATTGCCTAAAAAGAAAAAAAAATCTAAAAAAAAAAGAGTTCTAAAATTCCACAATCAAATCATAACTATCATACTCTTTCTGTCTATGCCTCACTCCTTCTCACTCCAAAGATCTTCCTTCTCAGTCTAACCTTGGTCCTTACCATGAGTTCCAGTTCTTCCACCTCTTAGGACTTTCTCAGGCCATCACCCCTACCGTAGCTTCTCCTCTTTATCCTGACTATTTTTAATTGGTTAAATATTACATTGTGTTCTGCTCTTTCATCCTTTTCCCTTGCCTTATGGTTATCATACTTTAACAACCCTCATCTCTAAATTACTTCCGCCATCTACCTCTTCTGTTCTTACTCATGTGCTGATGAACAGATCTAGAGGAAGTTAAGAAAAACTATTGAATAAGCCCACTAAAAATTTATGCTATTTGCAATGACTAATTATGAATCCAGGCAACCCATGGACAAACATGCTACCCACCTCCTGATGGAGAGATGATGGACTCACAGGGAAGCCGATTTAGACATCAATTTTTGCATAGAACCAATGCAGGATTCTGTTTTTCTTGACTATGCTTTTTTTTTTTGCAAGGGTTTTGTTTTTTCATTCTTTTTCAATAAGGGGAAGGGAAGGGAAGAGAGAAAATGGGTATTGTTAATTGAAAAATTAAACTATATCTTCCTAAAAATCAAATTTATGTTATCAAATCTCAACTGTGCCCTCAGTACAGTAAGATATTTTTTTACTAATTTATAATTCATCTATCCCATTTCCTACAGTGGGTATTTCAAACCTTCACTTCTCTCAGGCTTCACATTTCACCTCTTACTATATCTGAAAACCTTGCCTAATACTTCCTGAGAGCCTCTCTAACTTCTTGAAACCTTCCTCCACACTCTTCTCCTTTTTCAGCCTCTGATGAAGAGGTAGCCCTTCTCCATGCCAAGATCAACCTCTCTATGTAAATCTTTAAACCCATCCTCTCCCATCCTCTCCAGCAGATGGCCACTATAGTCATCTCTCTCTCTCTCTCTCTCTCTCTCTCTCTCTCTCTCTCTCTCTCTCTCTCTCTCTCTCTCTCTCTCTCTCCTACATCCTATCCTATTGCTTGTATATATGCCCAGATTTTCCTCACCTTCAAAAAATATTCAGAGGTGGAGCAAAGATAGTGGAGTAAAGGCAAGGACTCGCCTGAGCTCTCCCCCTATTGTCTCCAAATATCTTTCAATAATGACACTAGACAAATTCTAAAATTGGGAAGAGAAATGAGAGTGATTCAAGAAAATCATGAAAAACAAGTCAACAGCTTGGCAAAGGAGACATACAAAAAAAATACTGAAGAAAATAACACCTTAAGAAACAGACTAGGCCACATGGTAAAAGAAGTACAAAAAGCCAATGAGGAGAAGAATGCCTTAAAAAGCAGAATTGGCCAAATGGAAAAAGAGGCACAAAAAATTTACTGAAGTAAAAAAACTCCTTAAAAAGTCAAATTGGCCAAATGGAAAAGGAGATACAAAAGATCACTCAAGAAAATAATTCCTTAAAAATTAGAATTGAGCAAGTAGAAACTAATGACTTTATGAGAAATCAAGAAACAATAAAACAAAACCAAAAGAATGACAAAATAGAAGACAATGTGAAATATCTCATTGAAAAAACAACTGACCTGGAAAACAGATTCAGGAGAGATAAGTTTAAAAATTTTGGCTACCTGAAAGCCATTATCAAAAAAAGAGCCTAAACATCATCTTTCAAGAAATTATCAGGGAAAATTGCTCCTATATTCTAGAATCAGAGGGTTAAACTGAAATTGAAAGAATCCATTGATCACCTCCCAAAAGAGATCCCAAAATGAAAACTCCCAGGAATATTATAGTTAAATTCCAGAGATCTCAGGCAAAGGAGAAAATTGGAAGCAGCCAGAAAGAAACAATTCAAGTATTATGGAGCCACAGTGAGGACACAAGATTTAGTAGCTTCTATTAAAAATCAGAGGGCTTAGAATATGATATTCCAGAGGGAAAAGGAGTTAAGATTACAACCAAAAATCACTTACCCAGCAAAACTGAGTATGATCCTTCAGGGGAAAAATGGATATTCAAGGAAATAGAGGACTTTCTACCATTCTTGATGAGAAGACCAGAGCTGAACAGAAAATCTGACTTTTAAATATAAGACTCATGAGAAGCATAAAAAGATAAATAGGAAAAGGAGATCATAAGGGGCATAATAAGGTTAAACTATTTGTATTCTCACATGGGAAGATAGTACTTGTAACTCATAGGAACTTTCTCATTATTAGGGCAGATAGAAAGAGTACAGATAGACACATGGCACAGATGTGAGTTGAATATGGAAGCATGATATCTAAAAAATAAATAATAAATAATTAAAGGGCAAGAGGATAATGTACTGGAGAAAGG